GAGAAAGAAAGGCAGATTACTATTTAATCTTTATCACTCAAGTCCAAGGTAACAGTGACTTGTTATTGATTGATTGCGAGGTAAATGACCAACCATTCACCCAGCCAGGAACATCCAAGGGTCAGATCAGACAGACATGGAAGGAGAGGCATGAGCTAGAGCAGCTTTCAAAGGCCACAAACCCCGACTTTCACTTGAGTCCATGCCAGCCGAAAATGGACAAATAGGATGGCGTGTGGCTGGCTGTGCCTCTGGTGTGGAAAGGAAGTTACAATTCACTCTTGGAAATGTGGAGAAGATAACTCAAGAAATATAAAATAAATCAGATAAAGATTCCAAAAGTTTAATGTCGTAAACTCTGCAAATTTGAAGTTAAACTTAAGCGTGTATTAACTGATCTGTAATTCCAAAATTAAAACGGAAGTTATTCATTATTTTCTTCCATCAAATAACCGAGAGGACCCCACATATAAAAGCAACTTTTCTGGATACATGAGCATGATGAGAGGAGGTTTCCTGTACCTAATCAGATGGTGCAACATTGTTTTAATATATGGCTGCTGATACACACGTGGGCAACTCCTAAGGACTAAAGAGCAAACTATAAAATATCAGTCTATGAAAAAAAATAATCTTCAGCCTAGGAAAACAATGATGATATTGGCACCCATTTAATGAACTCAGTTCATCCTCACACAACTCTTTGAGGTTGAAAAAAACAGTTGTCTCCATCTTACAAGTGGAGGAATTGAGGCTCAGAAATGTTACATCAATTGCCCAAATCCTCACAGAAACTGAACGAGCCCAGCTCCATCTCTCTCCAAAATGTGTTCTTAAGCCCTGTATATTCCTGTTCTGCTAAGTCTGGTCCTGATTTTCTTCTCCTCTTTCTCTCTGCCTCAGGGCCAATGTACCAAAATTCCAGGGCCAAATCTGTAGTCAGTGCTTCATGCCTGCATTCCAGACTGTGGCATCCAACTGCAGGTTGAACAACGTCTCCAGCTGGATAGCTCTTTAACACCTCAAGATCAACGTTTCCAAAATGTTGGAATCATCTTCTCACCCTTCCCCAGTCTCCAAAACTCAGCTCCACCTTTGGAATTCTGTTTTTTGCTTTGTTCTGTCTGTTAATGGCATGGCTGCTCTCAACTGTGTGGACCTCCCTTGCTGCCCTTCCCACCCGGTCCACACTCAGGCTTCTTCCCGGTCCTTCCCTCGGCCCTAGCTCTAGCTCTCGTAGCTGCTTTTCTCACCCCTCCCCTTTCAAGTGGTTTTCTCCATGTCTCAGCTTTCCCTCTTCCAACTGTATACTTCCAGCCATATCTTTCCCAGATTAATCTCTAATCATGCCACTGCCCCACTCAAAAATCTGTCTTCTCTCCCCTTTGCATACCCCCGGAATACAAAGTATTCACCCTTGCCACTTGATGCTCCCCAGTGCACACGCAACTTAACATCCATGAACACCCCACCGTGTGTGCTCCAGCAAACTAGATGAGCAAACTTTCCAGAGACATGCTTCCACCTCATACCTTTCCTCACACGATGGCCCAGCTCAAAATGCTCTCTAGCCATCAGGCCTTATGACCATCTTTGGCTGCCCATTGCAAATGCCCATCCTGATGCTCCACAATCCTTTGCATCCACATAGTATTTGTGGCACCTCTAGGAAAGCATCTTTCAGAATCTCTATTGTGTTTTATAACTGATTCTATACTTGTCTTATTTTTCCTACAGCATAAGCTCTGTGTTGTTCTCATCTCTCTGTCTCTTCTAGAACTCTGTACGTTGTGGGCCTTCAACAGCATTTTGTTGAATTGAATGGAACCAGTGCATTCTTCAGACAGTGATTTGGAAACACGTACGAAGGGAAGTCAAATCCACATGCAAAATGCAGAAGCATAAGCCCCCAGAGGAGCACTTCCTGCCAAAGGAATGAATACAAAGAAATGGGGAGCACTTGACTTTGAACCATGAAGTCATCAGATCCATTTGCAGGCTGCTGACTGTACCCATGAGAGAACAGAAGGCTGGCCAGCCCTCATCTGGACCGTCATCCCTTCTCTCTTGAGAGTGGGAGGAGAGCCAGAGCATACAGATACGGCTTCAACAACAAGTTTGCTATAAGGCAATAGCTTCTTGGGATACAATTCTTAATTCACATCAAAAATGTAATAAATAGGGCGGGGCCGGCCCCATGGCTTAGTGGTTAAGTGCGAGCACTCCGCTACTGGCGGCCCAGGTTCGCATCCAAGCGAGCGCCGATGCACCGCTTGTCCGACCAAGCTGTGGCAGGCGTCCCACATAAAGTGGAGGAAGATGTGCACAGATGTTAGCCCAGGGCCAGTCTTCCTCAGCAAAAACAGGAGGATTGGCATGGATGTTAGCTCAGGGCTGATCTTCCTCAAAAAAAAAAAAAAATGTAATAAATAGATGAGATTTAGAGTTGGGTGAGCTTTAACTGATTTCTAAAGAATAAAGGAAGTGATGTGTGGTATGGTGAAAAGAGCCCCAACCTGGGCCACAGGCCAATTCACCTCATCCTCCCTGGCCTCAGGGTCCTCATCTGTGCAAAGAGGGGCTGGACTAGGGGACTTCTGAGTCTTGCAGCTTATAATTTTATGATTCTGTGAACATCTGATTAGGAGCAATGAAGATGGCTACAGCAGAAACTGTTGGTTAACAGAGAGAGAGAGAGAAAGAGAGAGAGCAAGAGAGCGCCCCGGGCTCTCTGCTTAAACTCCTGATGTGTCCCTGATGAGAAGTCACGGCTGAGCTCCATAACTGGTTCCTGGGAGGTTCCTGCAAATCCGCAATCATCTTGTCCCTCTGGATACATGCCCTTCTAGGGCAAGCCTTCAGCATTAACCAGGTATCTTCAAGCAGCCTGGCCTTTTCATCTAGGATATCAAAACCGATAATGAGTGTAATTTGGAGGCCTGACTTGAGATCTTGTCTCACTGCTGCCTGCCAGACTGACTGCATGTCATACTGAGACAGCCAAACTCTTATTTTCCCACAGGAATACTTAAGTGTCTAGGTTCTGGTCTGCCCCTGTCAACTACCCACACGACCAGCAATCAACACCTGTTTACAGGTACTGTTTGAAATAGTCAAAGACCTGTGAAATGCCCAAACATAGGGAAAGAGTTAAATAGCTCAGGATATGTCCTTGCAGTGGAAGACTACACAACAGTTAAAAAGAAAGAGGTGGATTTATATGTCCTGACATTGAAGGATGTTCATAATATATTGGTGAATGATGAACGCGAACTGCAGAAGAATATGTTAAGTGTGATCTCATTTTGTTTGCTATTTACAAATAGGACTATGTAAATACATATCCATGTATAATTTATATGAGTATAAAGAAGTATCTGGGAAAATAACCAGTAAATTACTAATAGTGGATACCCCGGGAAATGGATATGAGGTGGGTTTCCCTTTGTGTTCTTTCGAGTGGTTTGAATTTTTGCAACTTATTAAGTGGTTTATAATTATAACAACAATATGGTTTTAAAACCGGGTATTTACAACTATCTGGTCTAAAAATATACGTATTTTACATAGCCAGAATTAGCACCCTTGCCCAGGACCCACTATCAAAATCCCACTCTCTAAGGTCCCACTATGTGAGGTTACTTAACAGGTGGGAAAGATACAGCTCAAAGCAGATCTTGTGTTTCTGATTCTCTGTGGGGTTGTGAAAGGTACTGATGTATTTTTAAAACAATACAAGAAATGACAAGCACTCTTTTTCAAAAAGCCCCCTGGTCCTCAAAAGCAGGTAAGGCTGTGAGGACACCTATACTTGTTGTAGATTAAATGTGAAGTAAGATTTTAAGTGAGTGTGTTTCCTAAGCAAAGGCTTCTTAGAAATGTATTCTTAAGAGGGGCTATGGGTGAAATAGTGATGGAGTCACCACCTTCCTAACATACCTGTCCCAGTCTCTCTCCAACAAGGCCCGTCCCTGCTTGACATCTGAAAATAAATATGAACACACGCTCCTTAAGAGTTAGCTCCACCAACCCAAACTATGGGACCCAAGCCAAACAGCTGACCAGAAACGGCATCCAGGCTTCAGGCATTATACTTTTTCAGATCAGCTATGACTATCATGGACAATTTTTATAGTGTTCCTAAGTGTGGGAAATGTTAGGAGGGAGTGTGGGCAATCTGAAAAGCCACGTACCTTTCAGTTACAGTGAGGACCAGTCTAAATATAAAACACTTGTGCACAGCAGAATAACCCAAAGGGTATTGTGTTACTTACAAAAAGCCTCACAAGAAGGTGACCTTTGAATTCCCATGTCCCCTGATTCCTTTGCTACACAGTGTGATCTGCAGACCAGCAGCATTAGTACCACCTACTGCAGAAGAACCTCCTAGAAATGCAGAAACTCGGGCCCCACCCCACACCTACTGCAGCCCTTTGCACACGGGCATTGCTGCTCCTGAGAGCTCTGGGCCTGCAGGCTCCCTCCCAGCCTGCCTCAGGGGCCCCTGGCTCCTAAAAGAACTTGTAGAGTCAAGGAGATACTGGATTAGAAACCTGACTTGGGACCTCCGTGCCAAAGAGAGTGAAGGAGGTCAAAGAAGAGAAAAGGAAAGAAAGTCACCCACTCCACGACTTTCCTGTATGAGGCTTGATGGGTACGGCAGGCAGGCCAGGTGCCCACCCGGCCAATCAGTTTCACCAGGAGGAAGCTGAGAGGGGTGCCAAGGCAGGCTGCTCAGTCCAGGGGCTGCAGGATGGAGGCAGGTGTGGACTGGGAGACAGGTCCCCAAGTGGGAACCCCAAGCTCAAGAGAGCCAGAACCAGGGCTTCTGAAGAGAGGGGCTACCAGAGAGAGAGGGAGAGAGAGACCCCCAGCTGTCAGACAGACAGACAGGCTGACAGCAGGAGGGCCGGATGACTAGATATCAGACTGCCAGGTAGACCCCCAGCCGGACAGACAGACAGACAGGGTGCAGCGCGGCGGCCGCAGGCCTGACTCACAGGTGCGCGATGCCCGCCTTGCGCACGGCCGTGGAGATGGCTTTGACCGCGGTGCAGAGCGAGTTGAGCAGCTGGGTCATCTCGCCCGTGCCGCGGGCCTTCCTGCCCTCCTCCATGACGAAGCGGGTCAGGGTGACGATATCCGTGTCGAAGGCCGCCTGGTCCGTCATGCTGGGGCCGGGCTGCTGCGCGGGGCGGCAGGTGCGGGCGGCGGGACGCGGCGGGACGGAGCGACGGCCGAGTGTCTGCACCCCTCGGAGCCTAAGTGGCCCAGGCCAGGTCCCCGCCGCCGTGTCCCGGGGGAGCCTATAGGCGCCAGGTCACTGCCCCCCGCCCCGGAACATCTCCGCCCACGCCCCCGCCCCCTCGACTGCCGCCCCGCCCCTCCGATCCCCGGTGACGTCGGGGACCCGGGTCGCCGCCCCCGCCGCCCCCTCTGCTTCCTCCGCTGTGGCCCCCAGCCCCCGCGCCGCTGGACTGCCGCTGGCGCCGTGGACATCGCTCTGGGTCGCCTGCGTTACCTCCTTCAGTCCCCACGGCGACCCTGGCGCGCAGGTGCAGTCAGGATTTTCCCCCAAGACGTGAAACGGAAGTTCGGAAGGTGAAGGAAGGCGATCCCCGCGACGCAGCTAGCCCGGGAGGACGCGGGCGCTGCGGCCCGGCCCCGCGGCCTGCTCTCGGCACGTGGGTCTGACCGCTGCCGTCCCCGCCCCCATCGTCGCCACCTGTCCCTGCTCCCTGCCCTCTGTCCCCCCTGCTTGGCCTGTCACCTGGCTCTTCTGACCAACCTCAGGAGACGTGGATTTCCCTGTCCCTCACCTGTCTGACGGCCCATGTCTGGATCCTTCTAATCCAGGCCTCTTCCTCTCAAGGTTCCTGTAATTCCAGAGCTGTTGGGAACCGTAGTTTCCGACATCTGCGTTTTGCAGAGGAAACAGTCGCAGACACAGAGAAGTGTCTCCTGGGTACTGAGGCCAGAAGTCTCTTAGCCCACATCTTGACCGCTGTGTAGCCACCATGCTGCTCTCCTCCCGCAGTTCATACGCTGATCCAGGGAACAGCATTTATGGAGCACGTACTGTGTGCCAGGCACTGCCCCATGCACTGGGATACAGCCTGAACAAAGTAGAGAAAGCTCCTGCCTGCTTGACCTTACCTTTTAACAGAGAGACGGTAGAAAATAAACAAACACTAGGTTAGGATGTTAGCTGAGCCAGAAGTGCTATAGAGAAAAATGAAATAGGGAATGGAGACAGGGAGCACTGGGGCAGGAGTTGCATAGAGTAGTGAGGCAGAACTTCACTGAGAAATTGACATTTGAGCAAAAAGCAGGAGGGTGTGAGAGAGCAGCTGGTGGAGATTGAGGAAGTATCTTCCACAGAGAGAAGAGCAAGTGCAGAGGCCCTGAGGTGTGAGGGTTTGTGGCATGTTTGAGGAATGGCCTGGAGACCAGTGGAGCTGGAGTAGAGCTATCCAGGGGGTGAGAGAGAGAAGATAAGGCCCAAGAGGGGAGGGGAGGATAGAGGTGTGAGGCCTGGAGAGCCAAGTAAGGTTTGACTTTGCCTCAGAGGAAAACCACTGGAGAGTTGCCAGTAGTGGGGATGGGTGATCTGCCCTTTGCTTTCATACTCTGGCTGCTGTGTTAAGATGAGACCTAAGAGAGAAGACAGATGCTTGACTGAGCTGGTGATCCAGTGAGGTAGCGGTGGGCACGATGAGAACTGACTGCATCCTGGATTGAAGGTAGACCTGACAGTTTTGTTTACAGATGAGATGTGAGGAAGGACAGTTCGGGATGATTCTAAGGGTTGGAGCCTGAGCAACTGGAATGTTGGAGTGGCCCTCGACCAGGAAGACCAGGAGGGGTGTACACTAGGGGGGTGGTTGAAGATTAGGAATTAATTATGGGATACACTAGATTTCAAATGCCTATTAGACATCCAAGGGACTGTCAAGTAGACAGCTGGATTTGTGACTCTGGAGTTCAGAGGAGAAGTCTACGCTGGACATATAAATTGGAAAACCTCACTGATGAATGGTGTTTGGAGCCATGAGACTGGAAGGGATCACCAAGGAAGGGGTCGGCTGAAAGCCAAGTGGTGTGGCATTCAGGAAGCCAAGTGAAGGATGTGAGTCAAGGAGCAGGGTTGACCCACGTGCCAAATACTGCAGACGGGTCCAGCAAGATGAGACCTGAAAGCTGACCGCTGGATTCAGTCGTGGGGACCCGGCGTGCTGCTGCTCGTGCCCAGGGTTGTCAGATGGGGGAGCACCGGATGAGGGAAGGGGTCGTACCACCAGGAAAGATAGTTACTGTCTCCTCTTAGCCCAAGGGGGCATTGATACCACTGCAGAGAGAGCAGACCTCTTGAGGGTCCACTTAACTCTTTGCTCAGGCAAGTTGCTCAGGCAACTTTTCAGGAGAAACACTGCAGGGTGTTAAAAGGAAAAAAAACACCTCAGAAGAGAAATGTTTCCTCGAATATAAAATCTGAAACGTGATGACTAATATTTTTGGCCTAGCACTTGTTAACAGCAGGTCTGTTCAAGACTTTGCCCCTTCACGTGTCAGATGTGTTAGTCCGCAGGAGCTCAGGTTGGCTAGGATCGGAAAAGTCGTCTAGTCCAACCCAGCCCTCCTGAAGTTTAATCCCTTGGAAACTGTCCCTGGAAAGAGGTGAAGAGCTCAGGATGGGGGTTGAGCAGGCCCGCTGGATTCCCAGCTTCCAGCCCTCACAGCCTGGTACCCAATCCCTCTAATCCCAGTTTATTTGTCTGTAAGGTAGGATGATTGCTTGAGCTGGCGGGAGTGTCATGAGCATGACATGAGATGATGTTGGCAGAGTGCTCAGCTCCAAGCTGGACACAGAGGATGCACTGAATACATGGAAGAGACCTCTGTCTAGCTCAGTTATTGATCCCTGTCACCCACAATAATGGGAAGCCCACCACCTACAAGGCAAACCATCCCCCTTAGGAACCGGCCACTTGGCATGGTGGTGAAATGTGCAGACTCTAGAGCTGGACCACCTGGGTCTGAGTCCTGGCCTTGCCCCGTACTGGCGGTGAAAGCCTGTGCAAGTTCCTGATCTCTCTGAGCAACATTTTGTTCCTCTGTAAATTGGGGCTAATGATTGTGGCCATCTCGTTGGATTCTACAAGCGATGCAGGTAAGGTGTTTACGAACTCTGCCCAACCTGTAGTAAGTACATGCTACGGAAGTCTTTCATTCATTATACGGATAGTGTCAGCTGGTGTTTTCATCTGAACAGAAGAAAGAAAGTTCCTTTGCCATCAAAAGGGGGCTGAAGGGACATGAGAATGGATAGCCTCAGCCTATATTTACCTGTTGTGCAATTATGTCCCCCCATCATGTTGGATAACTCTGACGAGTCCTCTTCGGGTCAAGATGCATAAACGCATCACCTGGGTGTTAGCCAGAGACCAAGGATGGTGCAGGACCAGGGGAAGGCATGCACCTTGCGCATGGTTCCCCACACGTGGGCTTTCTCCCTCCCACTTTCACCCACCCCGCTGCAGAGTTGCTCTTTGCTGGCTGCAATGATTCCTCCTCCTCTCGCATCACAAAACACACTCCGATTCACACAATACTGCAGGTTCGAGTCGTGTGTGCGATATTACCAATTTTGTAATGGCTGTGAGTCCTGTACAGAAACAGGCACCACCCATTTCCTCACCAGGCTCCAGCCCCAGGAGGTCAGCTCTGGTCTGTGTCAGAGACAGGAAGTTGAGAAGTAACAGTCTGGACCATCACTCACCGCCCCCGCCACCCACCCCTGAACCCAGCCTTCTGCTTACTTTTCCCTCAGGAGGGCGGTTAGTGACAGGGAAAGAAATACCAAGTGAGGGCTCATGAGAAAGGGATTGTAGCAGTGTGGCCCCTCCATAGGTGAGTGCCCGGCTCCTGTGGCCACAGTGGCCTCGTGTAGGTACTGGAGACAAGACCCGTAATCTCTGGAGCGACAGAAACTAGACAGCCACACAATGGAGCGAACACCTGTGTAGCTCTTGTTACATGCACAGCGCTCCCAGGGGGCTACAGACACAGCCTTTCACCAACCAACACCCTATGCGGTGGTTCTCTTATGCTCCTCTCTCTACAGATGAGGGAACTGAGGCTTCTTAAGGTCAAAAACTTGTCCAAGGCCTGTGGCCAGCCAGGAAGTGGCAGAGCCAAGACGCAAACCCTGGTCTATCTGATTCCAAACCCCGCATTCCCACTGGCCTGCTGGTTCCCTGCTAAGTGCAGCCGGCTCCGTGGCGAGGCTGAGCCTGTCCACTGCAGCTTCAAAAATACGCATTCCGAATTGTCCACCCATTAGCTCTAGAGCTGCTTCTTAGGCATGCGGTCATTCATTCTTTACTCAACAAATAGTTATTGAGCACCTGCTGTGTGCCAAAACTGTACCACATGCTGGGGTTACAGAGGTGAACAGGACAGACACATCTCCGTCCATATGAGATTTACATTCTTTGTCGGGGAGATAGTCAGGATACAGAATTACACATTAAAGATACAAAACCATTTCAAGGAGCAAAGAGTGCTATGAAAAACATAAAACAAGGCAGAATCTAATTGGGAGAAGATTTCTTGGGAAATGATTCGGTCTTTGATTCAAGACTGAACGACAAAAGGAATGGGGCAAATGAAGAGATTGTGGAAGAGCAGGCAGAGAGACCAGCAGGTGCAAAGGCTCTAAGCTGGAAATGGGCTGGTGTAGTCAAGGAACAGCAAGAAGAAGGCTGTTCCAGCTAGAGGGGTGGGTGAGGGGAAGAGCTCTAGAAGATAAGGCTGGAAAGGAAAGCAAGGACCAGATTATGAAAGACCTCGCAGGTCATAGCCAGACACCGGGCTTCGGTCCATAGTGTGGTAGGAAGCCACTGGAGGATGTGAAGCTGCAGAGTGACATGACCCGACCTGAACTTGTGAGAATGGACTGTGGGAGGGCCCAGTGGAAGCGGGGAGACCCAGCAAAAACGAGTCTGACCCAGCCTGTCAAATATGTGGAGACTGCTGTCATCTTCCTTGTAAATCTCTACTTCTCCACTAAATATTTTCAGTTCCTTTAACTGCTCCTCAGACGGCAGGATTTTAAAGTTCCTCCCGTCCTGCTTTGGACCCATTGACTTCTTAAAGCTCCTTCCCACACCAGCTCTATTTCTGTGATTCTTCTTTTCCCATCTGCTCTACCTCACGCAGTAGTGCTGCATTCTCCTCTCTAAAGAATTCACTTTCTTTTCTTACCCTGCTGATAATATTAGGCACAGGCTGATTAGTGCAGCAGCAGGAT